CAAAGTAAAACCTAAAATTAATTTAATTTGTTTTCATCATAATAAATATCATTATGATTATGGCTATTTGTCGCCGGTATTTAAACAAAACTCTTCTAGCGACCGCCCTCCCCCACTACGATCCAGCTACCATCATCATCATCATCATCATCATCATCATCACAATCATCATCATCACCAGATCATCATCATCATCACCATCACCAGGTCATCATCATTATCATCATCATTATCATCACCATCATCACATTATTATTATAGGCCTAAGTTAAGTTTTTTTTTAAATAATTATTTTCATTATTGTAAATTTGTTTATTCTATATTATTATTGTTATTCGATATCATTATCTTTACGTTATATATACCTGCCCATCCGGCATCATGATTTCAGACGCAAGCCGTTCGTATTGTTCTGGCCGCGGAAGAGAAATATACTCCGGCGCCTTATCAAAGAGAAAATCTGTCGTCAATCTGGTGTGACGAAATGCGGTGGAGGTGGCAATTCCCGCGGATCTGCCCAGTTGTCTGTAATAGCCACCTCCAGCCAAATAGTCTAGTAGGGTTTCTATCATTTGTTCTGATTTGAGATACCCGCGTGGTCCTGCCCCCCTCCAGTCGTTAAATTCACCTCCAAGTTGGGAAATTTCTCGCTCACTTAATCGATAATGTTTTACAGATGATTCGCTTGATGATGCTGGGACTCTATGATGATTTGGGCGCCGACGATAGTTAAGTAGATTGAACATGATACAAAATTAAAACTAATAAAACAGTATAGTGAAGAAAAAATTAATAATGTAAAAGGGGTACTTCTTCCGTGCAGCAGCCTTAATCGTAATGATAGCAACACCAACACCAACACCGAACTTGAAATCATGAATTTCCCAATCCCTAGGGGCTGGTGTTGGTGAATGGGAAAATTACACGTAAATCGTCAACACCAACCGCGATACTCGGTTCAGCAGACGACATCCAACACCAGCTTCAACACTGCGTACCGGAAATACGTCATATCTTCCGAGGTCAATCCCAACACCGGCTCGATTTCAAGTTCGGTGTTGTAGCTGGTGTTGGTGTTCTCACAACACCAACACCAGCTTTCAACACCGTACTTGAAATCACTCAATGGGACTTTATACACGTATTAAGCCCCTAGTTTCATAATATCGTATCTTCGCGCGGTAATTTCGTTGCCGGCTTGATGGCTGGCATTTTTCAAGTGATTTCATTTACAAATTGACGTTAATTATAGAAAACACAATAATACCATTCACCTCTTTATAAACTTGATGATTACACAAAGAAGTATAGATTTTATAAAATCTATGAGAATTAATTGAAAACATCATGATAAAACTCATGAATTATCATCGATTAATTTTTAGTAAATACGTATACTATATCAGATCTTTAAAACATACAATTACATCTGCAAATTGTTTTCTAAATAATATGCGCAACAAATTAGCTAGTCTGCCATAATCTTGTTGGATCGACGATAGGAAGAAAGAGAGAATGAGCAAGAGGGAAAAGAAGAACAGGGGCGGATCTATAGGGGGTTTCGACGGTTTACCCCCCCCCCCCTTGGGTGGCCAAGTGAGAGAAAAAAGGGAAAAAAGGGGGAAAATAGGGGGGGGGGGAGAAAAACGGCGCGGTTTTGGGGAAAAACAGATCCGCCACTGGTTCAACCCCCCCCCCTCCCCCGGGCCCCCTTGGCAAAAAGCTCGATCCGCCCCTGAAGAAGGAGGAGGATTAAGAAGAAGAAGAAAAAGAAGAAGAAGAAGAAGAAGAAAAAAAAAGGAAGAAGAAAAATAACAATATTTCGAGTCAACTTGGCCTATATTCTCCCTGTATTGATTCTCACATCAGGCCTTGAAGTAGCACTTTCCTTGGAAGAAGAAGAAGAAGAAGAAGAAGAAGAAGAAGAAGAAGAAGAAGAAGAAGAAGAAGAAGAAGAAGAAGAAGAAGGAGGAGGAGAAGAAGTCAAAATCGGAAGAAGTAACCGGGAGGAGCTGAAATAGAAAAGAAAGAAAGAAAAAGAAAAAAAAAGAAGAAGAAGAAGCTAAGATGGAGGAGAAGAAGAAGTAGAAGAAGAAAAAAAAGGACTAATTTTTTTTCTAGCGTTGGCCAATATCCCTTGCATTGAATTCTCACATCAATTTTTTTTAAAGTGAGATCACTATAATTTTGGTTTCAAATTATTCTTTCCACCTGAGCGGGGGAGGAAGTTGTGGGAGGGGGGGGGGGGGTTCCCCCTCCCCGTGATTGAGAAATTGATGGCATTTTCTATTTAAAAATCAAGTGTTATACGTATAGGCCTACAGTATTTTGCGGTTTCACTAATAACTGTTTCCTACACAAGTTAATTGCACTTTTGGCATTGTTTCCGTATATCAGACTGAGCATCCTCCTTCTTTTCAAAAAATGTCTACCAGTACCTCCTCCAGCCTCCAGGTTGATGACCTTGGCGTAGTGTAGACTCAGTCATTGGGGGTTGGGGGGGGGGGGGGGGGCTCCAGTCTTTAGTATACTAGATCAGCGTTTTTTAACCTTTGTTTAGCTATCTTAAATAGCGAGAATTGTTTTCCATTCCTCTTATATACATAGATGTATATGGGCTCATTTTCGCGCGATCAGAAATATTGCGAACGAAAAAGAAAAGAAATGAAGAAAAAAAAAAAATCACTTTTAGTTTTCGAATTTGTTTAATTAGTCATCAATATACATTAGATCAAATCTAAAGATATATATTCGGTCATCTCGTGGCAAGGAATCATCCCGATTTATCAATTTTGCGAGAAGTGAAGCGAACGAGGAGAAAAAAAGACACTTTTTGTTAATATAATTTAATTTAAAAATACATAAAGAAGGTTATATTCAGGCTGCCCGAATCATGACGATATTTGAGCAGCGGGATGCCCACATATCGTCATAACATAATGATGTGGATATTCATGGGACCTCGTTGCCCGAAACTCTAGACCGATTCCAAATTTTGCGAGCGAGCGAAACAAGCGAGGAAAAACACACTTTACCATCTCTGAAATGTCATTTCCTTATCAAAATATCTAAAGTGGGCATCTTGTGGTTACTATATTCTTTGGTTCCATGACGTTGACGTTATTCCCAAAACATATTTCTAATATTACTAAATACTCCCGCGGCACTCCGTTAGAAAAATGTCAGAAATAATCCATTGTAAAAATTTGAGGGGGCATAATTACTAGGCCAGGAGGGGATAAACCCCTTGCCCCTTTAAAGCGGGAAAATGTTGTATGCATGTTAAAGTGAAATGGGCACACAAACATAGGCCTACTCCCTCTGTCTCTTTTCCTGTATACCGTGTGAGTGAAAAAAAAGTTTACACCTAGAAAATTGCTAATTATTTTTAAAATCATTTTTGAACAGTAAATTATTATACATCTTATGAAAGAGTGTTTATCCCAAATCATTTGGTATCATTTTTGTGTGGTATGTGTTCGCGCTTGAATGAACAGGAGGCATTGTTTGCGAGAGTGCAAAAATCGACTTGCGCCAAAGTGATGCCTACAGTATGTATTATGTTGGGATGAGCGGAGTGACAGAATGAATTGAATGTATCAAATAAAATGCATTGCATATTATGCTTTTTGCAGAAGCAAAGTCACACACACACACACACACACACACACACGCACGCAAGCGCGCACAAATGTTCGTTGATACTTTTTATATTAGATATTTGATATGTGTGGCATGATTTATTTTGTTAGGGATGTTATTTGGATCTGCAAACACCGAATTAAAACCCAAATCCCAATTGTTTTATTCAAACATCACATAAGCAACTTTGGCGCGAGTCGATTTTTGCACTCTCGCAAACAATGCCTCTTGTTTATCCAAGCATGAAAACATACCACACAAAAATGATACCAAATGATTTGGGATAAAACACTCTTTCATCAGATGTATAATAATTTACTGTTCATAGAAGATTTTTAAAATAATTTGCATTTGTCTAGGTGTAAACTTTTTTTTGACTGTATGTCTTCTATCTTTCACTCCTAATCCTATCTCTATTTATTTTTTATTTTCAGCTGTATTATATACGCTTCATCAATGACGTATTTTGATCACCCAATAAAAGCACTTTTCGATAACCGTTTAATGCCCCTCACTTACTTCTTTGCTGATTAACATAATATTGTAATATTTGAAAAGCGTTTTCGAGCAATCTATATCTCATTATATTATCTTATGTTCGTTTTCCTTTATTCCTTCATCTTTCCCCTCGCTCTCATCTTTTGTTATATATATATTTTTTTTAAGTGGACCTTAAATAGTCAAGTAGCGAGGAAGGGGGGGGGGGGGTGCGTTTGCACCTGACCATAATTATGGGCCTGTACTATGACTTAATTTTTGTAAGGTGCCCCCCTCCTGCCACCTGCCCTTCCGTGCTCACCCCTATCCAAGAGCATTTCTTTAAAGATGAAATTCTAATTAACCACCATAATGATTGTGTTTTTTAGATTTCGGATCTGTACATTTTCTCGGGTTCATAATGCGTAAGCTTTTCTCCAATGCATATCCAGGCGTAGCCCGGACCCTTTTATTTTCTTTCCAAATATATATATATATATATATATATATATATATGTATACATCATTAACACGCCTGTGGGGACTTTAGAGCTATATCTTAACGTATTTCTCATCCTATTATGGTTTATTCTTCTTTCATCTCATTTTGTCTATTTTACTTTATATCGATTACCCAGTCTTTCGTTCTCGAATCCTATCCTTTTTTTCAAATATGTTAAACGTATGTCTTTTTTTCCTTTCTTTGAATTTCCTTGTTTCTTTCTTTCACGTTTTTGACAAACAAGTATATGGTACTATGTTTTCCTTATTAATAATTGTTTTAATTTCCATTCATAATAATCTTTTAATGAATTTTCATAATCATCGTAATAATAATATACACACACCTTTATAAAAAATATCTGTATAAATTATATGCAAGTTTGAAAATAACGTTGTATATTAAAGACTCTAGTCTCAATATGCTAATTTACAATTGAGTATTGCAAAAGGTATAACATTATATTAAAAAGAACATTACTTTGCATAAGAAGAACAAAAATTAACTGGAATGAGTTATCACAGTCATCGCCTATTCAACAGCGCTTCTCAACCAGTTCGCTTGCGCTCTCGCTTCTATATTATTAATATAGTTCAGTCGGCCTACTTTAGTAAGTTTGGCCCGGGGTGGCCCAAATCCAATATCAGACATTGTTTGTCCCGGGTGCAACAATACATAAATTCGCCACTGCATATAATTACCACACAATTCGTTCTTTATTTTCCTGTGTCATGATTCATTGCTAATATTTTCTCATTGTTTTTGTGTGAGGTACGTGAGCCTTAACAGCCATAGTGGGCCTCGAGTTCAAAAAGGTTGAGAAGCGGCTGGCCTAGTGCATTTAGGATAATATTGTAAGCGCGACTCTTTGGTATCACGAGAGGAATATTTACAAACACATTTGACATTAACATTGTTTCATCGACAAACAAAGCGTATATAGAACATTGAAATACTTAACATTTCAGACTTAGCATTTTCATAATAAGGAGCATGGTTTTAGAATGCACAAAAGATGAAAGGAAAGGAGGAAAAGGAAATAAAGCTGGGAACTTTATTTTGACCAAAAAGAAGCCATGGGGCCAAAAATGAAAATCTTTCTTGGCTCCAGCTTTTCAGTCTCTCCCCAACCCCTTTGCAGTCCTCTCTTTGCCACTGCCACGCACTATTAAAAAAAAAAAACAATTGAATTTATTTACACAATATTATTAGAAGTGCTTTTGATAAACTATCTATATTGCAAATCATTGAAAACAAAACATGCCAAATAATTATTATTATAGTTATTAACATTCATTGAACTTGTCTTCACTTTACAATTATGATTACCGCGCAGTACACATTAAACAAATCTAACTGATGAACATACTGGAAATAGCTGCATGGCTGCTAAAGGAGCCTTTAAAGTACTGCATGTACTTTTGCTTTAGCCAAGTTTCTATAAGCCATATACACTGGAAGCATTCAGTTAATTACTTCCTTTCAAATATCGTATAAAATATACAACTGGATTAAGAGTGGAAAATGAAGATTAATAGCTGTGACACTATTCTAAAATACTCTGACATTGAGAAAACCACTGTCTATCCCTTTGAAATTCTACACAATAGATTGAATGTGGACAATGTTGAACAATAATATTAGATTCCTCCAAGTTTTAATACTGAAAATTGCCATTAAGTACACTTAGCATAACAATGAAACAAAACAAAAATGCAGCAGGTAATGAACTCAATATTCTTTGTATCGATGCATGAGTTTGATGATGTTTTTAAAGAAAAAACTTCTTTTATCGAAAAAAAAGTATTTCGTCATAATGCATTAAACAAATAGGCCCGTATTATTTTTTAATATCTTTGTCCAATGTTGGAGAATCACCGTTGCGGAACCAGTGGGTATATACACAGGGGAACGAGCCTCCAGAAAAAAATGCGACCTCATTTTTTCCTTCCTCGTTTAAAAACATTATTTTTCATCATATAATTTGTATTCTTGTCACATGTCACACAGGACTAGATCCGCCACTGAATCGTTTGTACGATTACACTATGTGACAACAACAACAACAACAACAAAACAACAACAACAAACCATGACCGCATAGACTTTCGAGGAATCAACTCAAATGTAAATGCACTGCCCTATTGTAGTCACGTTTTGATTAACTTTGTAAGTATAACGCGTCATTGCAACGTTCGCATAATTTACAAGGTGATGCATGAAAGGCTATTGAAATAGCTTTAGGTTCATTTTATTCCTCGAAAATCTTTGCGACTGTGTCAATAATATCAACAGTGAGAAAGCATTAATGATATTGATTTAAAAAATGAAATGTGATTTGAATATCAGCATATTTTGTTTTAAAAGCGAATCTTTTTACAATCAATTAAGCCTATTGATATGAAATGCCTTCCAATTAGGGAAATGAACACAAAGTGGCCACGGTCGTGAAGAATAGTTGCATTGACATGTTCTACAATACTTTATTCTCAATGGAGACAATAAGGCGTTAAAAAAAAGATGTTGTATTGTCCTTTGCGACCGACCCCAAAATCCGTTTTTTACACACAAAAAATGTTTAATGCATATCAAAATATGTATCAAAGCATTCAAAACTGAGAAATATCAGCCCAAAGAGGAAGGGCAAAAAAGAGATTTCCGACCGACCGACCGATGTTTTGGCACATTAAGGGTAATATAACTTTTTTTTTTAAAGGCCCAATAGAGACAATACAGAGGGTGCAATAATAATGTATCCACTCTTTTAGGAGTCATAACATGGATCAATTCGTTCTGGTGTTGAATCTACCCTAAATCCATATTTCTATTACTGACTTACATTTTGCAATCAATTATTAATGGCCAATCAAGATCATCGTTGCATGCACATATTGATGATAAGGTTGACTATTCACCAATCAGAACCGTTATTTAAATTTTTCAATTGACTGTAAACCTATATGTTACGTGGCTCTGCTTTAATATTTCTAGTTATGAAAATTAAGTGCATTTTATTGGTGGGATAACCTGTCAGGGGTGGATTTTTAAAATAAATTTCACTCTTTCCCCCTCCTTCAAAATACGCCAGTGATTATGACTCCTCTTCAAAGAGTGGACTTCTATAAATCTTGAAAATCTAAAAAGGGTACAGAACGTCCCTTTAGAGCCAGAAGGGCGTTAAGTCGCCGTAGAGGGCCATTAGTTAACGCCCTTCTGCCCGTGGAATCAATCATGATATTGAAGGAAAGCTATCGTATCAAATTTTGTCGTAGTCTTGTCCCGATGAGGTCTCCATCATTTGAGTTTTACCGCAGCAGCTGAAGAGGAAGAAAAATCCCTCCTGTTATAAACACAAAAAAGAAATAAAATTGCATGTTATTAAATGAAATCGAAATACGTAATAGTTTTTGTTAGGCCCTGCCTGATTGTATAATTTAAACGTCCTGCACCATAGTAAATGTTATTCATTATTATTATGTTTAAAGATGAAGTTGAGTTCTGGTCATGCGATTGCATTGTGAAAGAAACGGTGTGGAACCGACCAGAAAAGGTTGATCATCTAGCATATAAGCATTTGTGTGTATTGCAAGGTTCTGGAATCATCAAAATGATAAGAAATTTGGCCAAGTCTTCTTAAAGTTACAAACACTTGCACAGAAAGATGTATATGGGACTACACGAACACGTGGCGTAAAAAGCCGGCCCCCCGATTTTTACGATTCAACATGCATATTTAGAATATGAAGCCATTTGAAGAGCCATGCTTTTCAGGGAACATGTCTTAACTGATGTTCTTCCACACTTGCATAATAAGAATGAGTAATGCTCACAAATTATTTTTCACCTCTTCCCAGAACTCAACCTTCTCTTTAACTGTCCAATGCTAACGATGGAGAACAGTCTGTAATATCATATCTAATTATTATTGTACCTTATTGCAGGCGTATATGGGGATTCGAAGTAATAAGTAATCATGCTTTTGCTCATGCGTGTAACGGAGATGAAAAATAACAATATAAGTAGGTATCCAAACCTGTACCATGAGTGAATAACAATATAAATATATTTCCAGTCCTTTACCATGAGTGAAAAATCTCTATAGAAAACCGTTGCAGCAGGTGCGTGGTATAGTTCATTTTCAAAACGCACACACACACACGCGCGTACGCACATATCTTTTTTTTTTAAAGTAATTTTGTTTATTCCCCCAAATGTAATACAAACAAAAACAACATACAATTGAATAAAATAAATAAACGTTTTCAATATCGATTGCTTGTACATAAACACAATTAAATAAAAACTCATTTGCAGTATTATAACTGAGCAACAAAGTAAACTTAAAGCTTATCTGCCGTAGTTTACAGGAGGGATTAGACTGCCCCGCAAGGTCACTGGACAGGTGGTTATCTCATCAACTCAGCTCTCAGTTAACATAGGAAAAAGAGGATCATGGGGGACCAATGGTCACCGTTTAGGCATTGTATGTTATCTAGAGGGCGCAAGTAGCTACAAGTAGTGCAGTGGGCCTTTAAAGTACATAAGCAGAATATATAAGTCAATTGTACATGTTATTCACTTTATATACAATTTTTTAAAACAAATCTGGAGGTTACTTTACTGGTACAAGAAACACAAAACAAAGTCCTGCCCACTCCCTCACACAAACACCCCCCCCCCCACACACACACACACATACCACACTACTCACTCAGTGGATGTCTGCTAACATTCTCAACTCAAGAACTATACTAAGTAAGTTAACCACACACGCACGCACACACAAAACACACACGCGCACGCGCGCGAACAAAATGAATTACCAGGATAAGAGTGGGTAGATCAAGCCAGAAGTGTACGTGAGGAATAATTTCCATCCCCCTCGCCCCACTGCAGCAGCACATATAGAAAGAACCAAGCAGGAAGTATCCACAAACGAAGCTTACAAATCTGGAAGAACAAATAGACATAACATCAAATTTATTTCTTTGATTATTTCATTATCTCAATATGATTTCATTTTAAATTCATTAATTTACTTCTCTGATTTCGACACTGATTGCTTTTTACTCACACAAAACTTAAAGGCACCCTGTCCTACTTGTAGCTACTTGCTCCCTCCATATAGAAAGCTCCGCTAATCGGTGCCTGTTGGTCCCCCACGATCCTCTTTTTCTTATGTTAAATGAGAGCTGAGTTAATGAGATAGCCACCTATCACAGTGACCTCGCTGGCTCGCTGGCTCGCTGGGTGGTCTAATCCCTTCTAGCTGAAGTAGTAAAGCCTGCCTTTAAGGTATAGGGCTCAGTCATAGTTTACAAGAACAAAAACTAATATAAATTGATATATAATAGTGAGAATGATTACATAATAATTATACATAACTATTGAATTTATTTGGTTTTGGCTTGTTTTGCTTCTTTAAGCCCCACTGCACTACTTATAGCTACTTGCGCCCTTTACACAGCCAACAATGCCTAAGCGGTACCCGTTGATCCCCGATGATGCCCTTTTTCTAATTGAGAGCTGATTATTTTGAAGAGATAACCACCATGCCAAACTAGTGCAGAGGGGCTTTAAACTAAGCATACTTACATAATGCAGATCACTCCTCCAGCTGTCAAACCGTGCGTCTCTGGGTGCGGTCTGATTGTTGCCCGGGTAACGGGGGGCGGTCCGATTGTTACTTTGGTAACGGGGGGCGGTCCGATTGTTACTTTGGTAACGGGGGGCGGTCCAATTGTTACTTTGCTAACGGTGGTCGGTGCGATTGTTGATTGGGGAATGATTGGCTGAGGTGTGACGGTGGGCGGACCAGAGGTCTTTGGAGTTGCAATCGCAGGAGCACATGGCATGAGCAGGATGAAGCGCTGCCAATTAAAAAAAAGAGAAAGGAAAAGAGAAGGAAAAAAGGAAAAGGCAATTAGAAATGACATTGAAATAAATTGAATTGAATTGATATCTTTATTTATACACGGTTAAAAAAACCCAAATAATATCAATATCTATGAATATGCAATATTCAGAAAATAGTATCAATTCTTCAGAATTCACAAAAGATTTTGTGTAAGGTCATGCACGCAATATATGATACAAATCATATAACCTGGGCAAAGGCATGGGGAAATCAAGTTTTGGGGGATAAAAAGGGAAATTAATGCCAAAATGGGATTAAACTATATAAAGCACTTGATATATAGTGAGGGCATGACGTCACAAACTGATAACCAAATTGGCAATTTGTGTAGTGATTTCCATTATTCCATAGTTTTACATACTTTTTCAAAAATTCATAACTTTCTTATTAGTTATCCGATTTTGCTCAAACCTTTTTTGATTGGTATGTCTGATTTTTCTGCTTCTATTGAAAGTAATTTATTTTTGGTGTGGATTTGCCCTTTAATTGTGAAGCAAAATGTTTGTTCCTTATTGCCACGGACTAGAAAGGAAGGTATATCTGCCCGGAAACAGTAGATGTTGCAGGATCAACTCATAACATGATGTAGGGATGTTAATGTATCTATTTATACATATATACATATATATATATATATATATATATATATATATATATATATATATATATATATATTACACATATAGATATACTACTTCGTAGCATTATTTTTTTCTCCATATTCATAGTGGATTATCTTCGTATTTTGTTTGTTTGTTTATTTATTTAAATACGGTGATTAAAAAACATGTTTTCAGCTTAGCATCGCTGTTTTGTCAGCATGTCCGTACATGGTACATTAAAACACATGAATAAACAGATAAAATACAAAATTAAGCAATAACAATACATAACATTAAATAAATGAAATCTAATGAAAACAAATACATATAAAAAAAGAGAAATATAATTCAAGTTAACGAGAAAAAAAAAGTATGTATAAAAGTATCAACATAGTTAACGCCATTCTTCCTCAAAAAAGACTTTAATAAAGGCGAAATTAGACCTCACCTATAATTTTCCTTTGTTAAACCCGATTTCGAATGAAAATTGATAAACCTAACCAGGGGCGTACGCAGGATTTTTTCAAGGGGGGGGGGGGGTTAAAATCTGGCCCAAAATATTTTGCTCCCGAAAAGTCGCTCAGTGGGGGGGGGGGGGGGGGGGGGGGGTAAGCGGACATTTTTTTTTTTTTATGGTCTCGAAATTTGAAAATTTGACATTTTTTTTCGTTGGGGGGGGGGGGGGTAAGGTCACTTTACGTTGGCCGTGGGCATAATTTTTAGGGGAGGGGGGGGGGGTTTAGTTTTTTTTAGGGGGGTTTACACACATAAAAATACCAAAGGGGGGGTTTGAACCCCCAACCCCCCCCCCCCCCCCCCCCCCTGCGTACGCCCCTGAACCTAACGTCGGGTTGAATATGTTTTATATCTTGAAACTTTTGAGAGGCTTACATGAATGACTTGATTCGGAGTTGATGACTGAACGCCCTGTACGACGATCTGGACTTCCTCTCCTCCGTTGCAAGCAGAATGGAACCGACTGATGTACCTGAGGGTGTTTCACAAAGATTCGAAGTCAAACTTAACTCTAAGTTAAAGCCCCACTGTCCTACCTGTAGCTACTTGCTCCCTATATATAGAAAAACTCCCCAATCGGTGCATGTTGGTCCCCCATGATCCTCTTTTTCTTATGTAAGTTGAGAGCTGAGTTAATGAGATAGCCATCACCTGTCAGTGACCTCGCTGTGTGGTCTAATCCCTTCTGGCCAGTAGTATTAACGGTCTTTAAATATTATGGAGAGCCATGTGTAGCCTTAATTTGAAATACATTCCAAAGTAGAAATTCAAATATTTAAGACTGTTCATAAAATTCCACATCAAGAACATGAAATCTCCCATGATAATAGAAAATATGAATGTTTTGAATCAACATTATTATGCCTTTTAAAATAACTTTTACAAAATTTTTTCAAGGATGCTAATGGCTTTCCATTATTGTCATTAAGTCCAAACTAGAGATACGTTCAACTTAGGATCTTTGTGAAACACCCTCCTGGTAGAATGAGATACATACAATAATATTAATAAAGGTTCACTTCTCAGTCAGGGATGGCGTAGCTACCTGATGGGGGCACATTATTTTAGAATTAGCATAATTATAGAGAGAGGAAATGTGACTGCTGTTTGGAATTTCACAATGCATACTGTTTCGACTAAACAAAATAATGCCATTCACAACTCGTCTTGTTTCTTGAAAAATCTACAATTATTCATAGCTCATGAAACAGGAAGAAGCCCCTCCCCTCCTTATTACCCCAAATGCCCGCCAAGAATTAAAATTTGATATTTTCATTTACGGTGCCAGAAGAATAATTTGGTACAGGGGGCTGGGGGCTTGGTGGTTCGTGCATTCACTTTCTCTCCCTTAAATTAATTTATAATAAAGATTTTTTTTTGGGGGGGGGGGTGGGGGGGGGGGTAGGTGAAGAAATGTTGACCCCCTCCCCTTTAGAATCGCTACTGTTCCTTTGCCTCAAGTGGGGCTTCGACTAAAAAAAAAACATTAAAAAATGACTTACACCAAATCCGGGTCGCTAGGATCTGTATGGTTGTACTCGAGCACCACACCATTGTCAGCTTCGCTGTAGTACATACGGCCAGTACTGGTAGCGGCAACATTTAGAGGGATGCCCAAGTCACTTATACGGCAGACCTTTGTAAAGTAAGGAAGAGGGAGAGAGAGAGAGAGAGAGAGAGAGAGAGAGAGAGAGGGGGGGGGGTGAGAGTGATAACGTTTTTATTGAACTATTAAGGGTGATAGTATGTATGGGTTATTGTAGTCAACAAAGAAACACTTATAACAATAATAATAAATCAATGACAATTATATTGATGATGATGATGATGATAATAATAATAGTAACAATTATAATAATGATAATAACAATGATAATAATTACGTCAATAATAATCGCGATAAATAATGATAATAATAATGACGTTGATAATAACAATGATAATAATTATAATATTTAAAACAAAAATCGCTGTCCTATACACTTACGGCCACACCTGCGCACTCAGTCCCCAATGTAAATCCATAGCAAGGGTTTATGGTATATAAATTTGGGTCCTGATTTACATCTAGAGCAGTCACGTTGTTCCATCTGAAACAAGAAGGAAAGGGCAGTGATGTCGAAAGTATGACTTAAAATACTACTATATTACGTTCAAAAGGTAACCCAAAGTCGTTATATCTTGAATTTAACCGGTAGGTGTAATTTCGGTCTAATAGAACAAAAGGCTTTTATGTCTCGACTTGCCCGCCTCTTTCTCCCTTTCTCTCTCTCTCTCTCTCTTTCTCTCTCTTTCTCTCTCTTTCTCTCTCTCTCTCTCTCTCTTACACACTAAATGCATGCATATAACAGAAGAAAAATAGTACATTTTGTATCAGAATTCAAAAATAAAACGTACTGTATTTATCTTGTTTAAAAAAACGATACATAGACAACATTCCTTTTTTTGGTTTCTTATAGTATAGCTTTCATATTTCTTGTGTTATGTTTATGTTCTCAACATTATTGTATAATATACTTGTCCTGATGAGAATAAATCGAAATCGCTTATGAAGTTTAACCCTTGCCTCTTGTGTATGGTATCTAACGTTGTAAATTTATATATTTTGTTCTATATATATTGTATATATATATATATATATATAGAAATTAGAATTTCGGAAACATATAGACCTATATTTTTTTGTTTTAAGTGTTTATATTTTGTGTTACGTTTCCGTTCTCAAAGTTTTATAATGTAAAGCGAAATTGTGATTATTATGCGATAAACACATTTGACGTTATCATTATTATTATAATTATATTTCACTTTATTTTACCTTGCTGTTCCATCAGTGTTCCCCGCACTAGTCAAATCTAGTGTCTGACCGTCGTCGTACTCCCAGACACAGTTTGATAACTGTCTCCCATGCTGCTGAACGCTACTCGTCACGAGCACACTCATTAAGATCGCAATGGGAACGTACCGCATCACGCCCATTCGTGCTGGTACGTAGCGAGAGAGAGAGAAAGAGAGAGAGAGAGAGAGAGAGGGAGAGATACCAGGCAACTACAAAAATAATATGTAGGCTCAATCAGACAGCGATAGGGTCCACAATCTTCCCCCAGAGTCTAGAAAAATGCAGAGAAAAATAGGCGTTTCCGAAAATATAGTTGGTTTAGTGAAGTTGCGTCCGAGTTAGAAGCACTTTAAGGCAGGCACGGTAATGTATTTCAAGAAAACGTATTGGAGTATATTCTTCCTCTACAACTTGGTGGAAACCACTAACATAATCTGCGTGATTATTTAGCTCAGACTCAACACAGCTGTACAACAATAGTTATAAAAGTCTCCACAAGTTTTCAAGTCACTGTTATTTTCCAAGACGCGAAGACTGACTTCGTTCTATAGCTTCAATCATTATAAAAATAATAACAGGCCCTATACTGAAGCTGTCCTGTACAGACCAATATGCATGTAGAAAGCTATGTGTAAATAGACCGTCATGTGCCTATAGTCCATCCCGATAAACTCTCCGTACCGTGTACAGGCGGGATACAGACCTTTGTATTTGATCAGTTCAAAGGTTTTTTTTTTGTTATCGGGTACTCATGTGATTCAATAAGTCAATTAACCACAATTCATGACCCCAATCGCTCCGGAAGGATATTCTACTGCTATTTTGTAGATAGGCAGAATATAATTACATTGACTGAGATACCTATGAAAAGTTGCAGAATAAAAAAAAAAGGTGATCGGATTAACAACAACAACACGCCGGCAAAATATTGTTATCCCTTGGGTGTACAAAGTACCATAATACAGACACGATCTGTCCTCTATTCTCCTTAAGCCCCCCCCCCCATCCCGCCCTTTCGAGTTGGTAGAGAGGGAGGGAGAGAGAGAGAGAAGGAGGGCATGAGAGACAGAGAGAGAAATACCAGGCAACGAAATCAATCAGTCAGCGCTATATATAGGGTACACACAATTATGAAATATAATAAAACCACAAACTAAAGGCCTCGTATTTGCCATTGCTTACTATACTAAACAATGAATCTCAGAAATCAATACGAATCGATGAATATTGATATGATTTTACTACTCTATAGGCATAATTATCTTGATTATAACAAGGAGTTACTACACTACAGTGTAGTAACTCCTTGATTATAAACTGTTTATAATTTTGTCAGGTTGTAATTTTTGTGTGTGGTTTGTTTGCTTGTTTTTCGTTGTTGCTGTTTTCGCAATTATTATTTTTTTATTATTATCAACTAACCATGATTGTCAGGGATTCCACAAGTCAACTGCACAGTCGCTCCTTGAATGGGGCTAAAATTATAATATATTGACAAAATCATTTAAGTAGTTATTGACAGTTTTAGAATTAGTGGCGGTGCCATTAAGTATTTTTGAAGAGATCGGATGCCTCAAACATGTCGAAACTCTCTGACAAGCGAAAAAGAAATGGAGAAGAAGAGGAAGAACTAGAGGAGGAAGAAGAAGATGAAGAAGAAAAGAAAAAAAGAGAAGCAGAAGAAGGAGAAGAAAAAACGGAATAAAAGAAATAGAAGATGAAGATGAAAGACGAGAAAAGGGGGAAAAAGAAGAAGAAAAGGAGAAGAAGTAGGAGAAAAAGGAAAATGAAAAAAAAAGAAACAAAGATGAAGATCAAAGACGAGAAAAGGAGAAGAAGAAGAAGAAAAGATGAAGAACGGAGCGAATTTGGAGTTTCGCCAGGGCAAAAGGTTCGTAAAAGATTGTAAGGAAGTTCGCAAACAGTTTTCATTGTCGTAAATAGTTTTTCTTGTCGCAAATTAAAATGTTCAAAAGTAGAAAGCATTTGCAAATTTAGAACCACATTAGGCGCATTTTCAGGCACTTCCTGGAGTTAAAGCTTATCTGCCGTAGTTTACAGGAGGGATGAGAGTGCCCTGCGAGGTCACTGGACAGGTGGTTATCTCATCAACTCAGCTCTCAGTTAACATAAGAAAAAGAGGATCCTGGGGGACCAATGGTCACCGATTAGGCATGGTTTGTTATATAGAGGGCGCAAGTAGCTACCAGTAGTGCAGTGGGCCTTTAAATGACGTTTAAATTGCTTTCTCCTACCCCCTCCAAGAGTAGGGATCTTTTGCAATTTGATAACCATTTTGGTGCAATAATGTACACTTGCACTACCTGGGAAAAACGAGGCCTTCTGATTGGTTAGAAGTTAGAGAAAAGTGATCTGTCACGTCGCGAGACGTATAATTTATGCTTCGTTGCTGCACAATGCACAAAGACGGTGGTCTGGCACCAGAAATACTTCAAGTTGCAAAAATCATCTCGAGTGTATAAACTGTGTTGCTTTCTGGGGCGTCGCTAGACCTTTTCAGTGGGGGGGGGGGGGGGGTGTAGAAGCCACCGATTACCGACAAAACTAGCCACCAATTACCGACAAATATAATTATTAATGTCAATTTTCCAATGTCTACAAATATTTAACCCTATAAACTCGGGGCCAGGAACTAAGTTATTTTTCAGTTTTCCCACTCCCGCGCAAAGCGTGGAAGCTTTGACACTTCATTAAATTATTAGAGTAAGAATTCGTCCTTTGTACCGTTCCCGAATCTTAATTCTTGTGTCGCCCCTCCCGCGAGAAGCGCAGAAGTTATGACGTTTCATTTAATTATTAGGGAAAGAAGACGATTCGTTGTACCGTTCTCGATTCTTAATCCTTTTCTGAATTCAGTTTCCCCTTCCGCTAGAAGCGCGGAAGCTTTGACGTTTCATTAAATTAATACTTTTAATCCTTGTCTGAATTCATTTTCGCCCATCGCTGAAGGTTTCACGCTTCATTAAATTATTAGAGAGAGAAGACGATTCGTTGTATCGTGTCCTTGTGTGAATTCAGTTTCCCCTCTCCCGCGCGAAGCTTTGACGTTTCATTAAAATATTACTCTTAATCCTTGTGTGAATTCATTTTCGCTCATTTGTTTTAAACATTTCATTAAATTATTAGAGAAAGAAGGCGATTCGTTGTATCGTGTCCTTGTCTGAATTTAGTTTCCCCTCTCCCGCGCGAGCGGCGCAGAACCTTTGACGCAGTGGCGTAGACAGGTTCGTACACCTGGGGGGGGGATGACTGGGCTGCCAACGCTAGTGAGGGCGCGAAGCGCCCGAGCGAGGGAGCGAAGCGACCGAGCGGGGGGGGGGGGAGGGTGTGGGAGGGGGTGTCCCCCTCCCACGGTAGGGAGCTTTTGCAATTTTGAACTTGAAATCGTGCAATCTGATGCATACTTAATGAGGTAAAATAACACACACAAGCGTGCACGCACACACACACATACTCACACACACACACACCACATACTCACACACACACACACACACACATACTACGCCTTGAATGGACAGACATACATCGACAAGATCTACACCGTGGCATACGAATACAGAATGGACTGACACATAGTATTGCATATTGAACCACACTACGTATTTATTTATCTCTGTGAATTTTGCTGTTACACCTCTTCAGAAAAAAACCAATGTCAACTGTGTACATGCAGGTATAGTCTTTGTTGTCTTGATAGGGGTATGTGGTTATGAATGAAAACAGCCTCTGTGGCCATTTGTGAATAGAACACATAAACAACAAACAAATAACGATTAAACTTTGAACAATTTGTTCATTATAAAGCATAATGAATACGTACATACTATGCTTTTTTTTTACCTCAAAGAAACAGGCATAGTATCCATAGATGGATATTGGCTGGCGGCTCATTAACATACAGATACAAAAAACATAAACAGTATCACTATGATCCATGGAGTAACAATACTGCTTTGTAAGTTTGTGAAGAAATCGGAACCATAACGGCATTTCATCGTTTCAAATTAGGGCATTATTTACTTCTATTTGATCTCAGTCTTATAATAGTAATAATAATAATAATAATTATAATAATAATAATAATACAAATAAAAAATAATACTAATACAAATAATAATGCTAATACAAATAGGTTCCTTTTATCTCGCATTTCAAGACAGGGTAAATTCACACTGCGCTTTACATGAAACAAACTTCTTTAAACATTTCAAACTTATGTCTTCATCAATCAACATACTTTAAATGAATACAAAACAAAGTGCATCTTAAATAAAACAAAAATAAATAAATAGTTAACAATACAGAACAGATGTAGCTGCTGCAAGCTTAACAACAAACTAATGTATACCATAGTCCTGATATCAGCATTAGTGTAACAATAGTCATATAGTGGGAGCATGAAGTTGAACAATTCATGATTATACATAATTATATATGTTTGTTTGAATAATACTTGTTATAAAGATAGTAGTATGGTACTCTCTGTCACGAATTATTATGTATACTTTTGTATCACATTCATTTTCTATTCTGTTTTAGAATTGGCTTTCACCGTGTGAATGCGGCTAACAATAAACACAATTACAATAATGATGAGGATTATTATTATCATCATCATAATTATTATTATTATTAATATTATAATTGTTATCATTATTATTATTACTATTATTATCATCATTATGACTTATTAAGTAAGCAAATATCATTCCCCAAAACCTGGGGGGGGGGATGATTGTACATGCCATCCCCCCACCTTGTGAAGTGGGGGGGGGGGGGGATGCATCCCCCTCATCCCCCGTTGTCTACGCCCCTGCTTTGACGTTTCATTGAATTATTACTCTAGTCTTAATCCTTGTTTGAATTGTTTTCCTCCTCCCGCGCTAAGCGCGGAAGACTAGTTTTGACGTTTCATTAAATTATTAGAGAAAGAAGACGATTCGTTGTACTGTTTTCGACTCTTAATCCTTGTCCGAATTCAGTTCTCCCCCTCCTCCAGCGCGAAGCGCGGAAGCTTTGACGTTTCATTGATTTTTTAGAGAAAGACGACGAATCATTGTACCGACTCTTAATCATTTTCTGAATTTTCTAAAATGTTTTTTTGTCCGATAAAAAGTCACAATTCGTGGGGGAAAAAAATTTGCCGGCCGACCGACATAACACATCTCACCGACTTCAAACTTCTGCATTGATATAGTACACGAGGATTGAGCAAGAATACCGACGCAGCAACATAATTATATATACGTATCTTTCTTGTTCCCTCGACGTCGGGTGACTCAACCCAACATCCCCCTCTCTCTCTTAATCTCACCCCTCTTCTCTCAGGCTCTCACCCCTCTCTCTCCTCTCTTTCATCCCCCGTTTTTTGTTTCCTATTTCTTTCCTTTTTCCTTTTCTCCTTTTCTGTCTTTTCTTTCTTTTCTTTCTTTTCTTTCTTTTCCTTTCTTTTCCTTTCCCTCTCCTTCAATTTTTTTTCTGTTTTACTTTATTTTTCTTCCCTTATCTTTCCTTTCTTTTCCTTTTTTAAAATACTTTTTTTCCCTTTCCCTCTCATTTTCCCCGGTTTTCTCATTTTCCTGACAGCAGCGCAATTTTACCGCCAATATCCTGACAGGTGGGGGGGGGGGGAATTTACACCCCCACGATCCCCATTTAGAGACGCCCCTGGTTGTTATCCCATTATTCTTTTATAAGAAATGCAATTCCTCATGCTCTCGCACATCTCTTCTATCGTTCTTTCATTTTTTCCTTTCTCTTTTAACTCACAAAAATTCTCTCTTTCCCCTTTTTGATCCATTTTTTTTCTTCTTGTGCTTTTATTTGGAGGGGAGGGGGGGGTACACGCTTGGCAACAGAGACTCCATAATGCACACTGCAAAATTGCGTCCCCCGCCCCTTTCCCGGTAACAAAAAAAAAACGCCTTTTTATATTATCACCCCCTTTCTTTCTTTGCCCTTCTCATTATCCTCCTTTCCCCCCTTTACTCTCCTCCGTCTTACCCCTTTTCTTTTTATTCCGCCTTTCCTCTCCTCTCTCTTCCCTTTCTTCTTTTCCTCCTCCTTTTTCTCTTCTCCCCTTTTCTCTCCTCCCTCTTTTCTTCTTCTTTCTCTCCCTTTTCTTTTCCCCCTCCTTTTTCTCCCCCTCCTTTTTCTCCCCTCCTTTTCTGCCTTTCTGCCTACCCCCTTCCCCCTTTTTTTTTACCAGAGGAGGGAGGCATGTGCCCCCTGTGCCCCTGAATCCGCCATTGTTTATAGTCAAACTGTAAGATGTAAAAGGCAAAGATTTAAAAGAAGATGGCTTAGCGCGAGGCAGGTGAATCAAAGAAACTACTATACCGCCCTCTAAAGTCTAAAAGCAGCATAAACAGCCATTTTGGATCAGGAAGTACTGACAAAACCCGAGCCTCTTGTATGATTTCCGGGTGTGATATATTACCATTAACCTAGCAGCCGAGAAGTTATCCTTGTCAGAAATGAGTTGTATATGGAGACTAGAGTGATATTCGGGACTGAAACAAAGCACTAAGGTATACAATTAATTTTACTTTATGGTTGTAGACGGGGACATTTTAAGGTAATCGCAGGAAATTCTCCGCCGACTACACAGCGCGAGGCATGCAAGGTAGACCAAGTCTGACGTCTGCCGCCGCAAGCTTTCGTGTGGTTGCTTGCCAAACTGCCCGTTGCTGTAGCCTAGTGAATATAATGAATGCCCATTGCATTGCATTTGTAGGCGTGTGTTATTCTTGTGTTTATCACTCTTGCCTAACATTTGACCTCGATCTCTCCATAGGTATATATCTTGTTTCAAGTTGTTTGCATATTACAATATACCATGATATTAAATGTATTCAACATATCTATTGAAAGAATGAAGAGTGAGATCTAACGCCCCTTTTAAAAATTAGATTGATTGAAGCTGCCATTTAAAAAAGAGGGGGGGGGGGGGGCGAGGGGAAAGAAGTTCGAATTGGAAGGGTCTAAAATAATGTATGAATATTTCTGTTATCATGATCTTGGATATTGAATGGTGGGGCTAGATCTACTGACATCATGTAGCTTGTTACTGTTAACGTTTATATCTCGGTTGCGTACTCCAACCGAGATGACGCACGGACGATGATGGATTTCGCGCCGGTGGACACTTGCGATCCCTGGGGGCTAGCGAAAAAACAAGCGCATGGATCGATTCCTTACGACTGGGACTATAATCAATCGATCCATCATTTCTAAAAAGTGGCAAATTTCAGAGCTACGATGCAAACAACATTTAAATCGCTGAAATGACACCCCTTTGGAAATATGGAGATTAATCTGCTCTTTCATATGACGCCTCATTTATTGAGTATTACCTTCAGGATCATGAGGAATAAAGGTTTGAATCTCGATTTGGTCATAAAAACATTGACCAATTTTGCATGATCGGGCAAAGCAGCGCAATGCACATAGACTGCATAGGGATGCGTGTAATCTCTATGGGAAGAATTTTAGGACACAACATCGGTTGTGAAATCAGACACCCTACTACAGTGTATTAGATGTATTAATATTATTAGATGGTAAAATTATTTTTTTTTTCTTTAGTCAGAAGAAAAATAAATCTTTGCAGTCAAATTGCCAAAAAAGAAACTGAAACCAGAAATGTAAACCAACATCGTAACAAAAAATGACAATATCATTACTATATGGATATAGTGGAAAATGCAGAGATCTGCAGTCAAGTTTCCAGGTCTATCTGTTATGTGCTCTGTGCACATTGCTTCAATCAAATTTAGTCTTCCCAGGGGTGAGAATAATGATCACCACACCAAAAATGTGTCAACACTGGCTTTGAAAAAGTTCACAGATGTGGCAGTGACAACCTCTGTGAGTTGGTAGGAACTTCCTGTCATGACCAGGTGATGAATATTCCATGCATATCTGCGTGTATTTATATATTTGTTACAGGAATGTAAATGTGTGTGTACATTTAATATGCAAATCCAATTGCTACTTGCATGTAACAAGGGATTTTCACCACATCTGGGCACTCGACAAGCACAGGTACGATAATACGCCAACGACGGTCTGTTCTTAATGAAGAAGAAGAAGAAGAAGAATAAGCTTGTCCCCAGTTTTGTCCCCAGAGACTGTGGGAGATTGTTCCATAGTTTTGGTTTGGCATACTTGAAAGCACGGGACCCATATGTTTTGGTAGATTGTAACTAAGGGGCGTGAACGAATGTTTTGAAGATGAATGGAGATTACAAATTGGTCGATGACTTGAAATACTATTGTGCAAATACCAGGGAGCATCATTGTGTTTACGTAATTTATATACAATTGTTAAAGAGTTTAAAAACAATTCTATCTCTTAGGGGTAGCCAATGCAAATCATATAACAGTACAGTATGTATGAAAAACTATGCAAAATGACTTTTACCTACATTTACAATTTTGTAAGGCAGATTTGATTTTTTTTCTAGTTTTTCGCCCAGATTTAAAGAGAAATGGAAAAGAAGGTTTCACAATACGGAAATGGTTGTCATTAGCTTTAAGAACAGGGAAGTGCTGTCTTTCTTTTTGAAAACTGTTGATGTTGGCATTGGAGAGCATTATACACATTACACAAACACATTGACATGTATCCTTATTTCTTAAAGGGATTTGGTATGCCTTTGCTTCAGATTCTAAACAAAATCCTGGATTTAGCTCATGCTGCAATCATAATTATAAACCTTTAGATCAGTCAGGAATCCAATGACTTTTACAAGCCAATCGCATGTTTGATTAGCAAGATATTTATGATTGGAATTCAAAATTTCAAAAAACGTTTTTCCAACGGTTTTACAACACTACAATCTATTGAGGGAAATGAGTATAGTAAAACCGGTCACTCAAATATTTTAACTTTTTTTGAAGCTCAATTTTACGCCATATCACAGATATTGATAACACGTACCTGTAGGGCCATACATCTCAAATTGGTAAAACTGGAAAAACAATGCCTTTAACCCTTGAACACACTGTATCCATCTGGTTTCTATACTGTAGCGAGTCCAATGATGAAAGCGACACGTCTGTATCAAATTCTTATGGACACTAACCTGAAACCTCTGGATACGGGATACAGTAGGAAAACATGTTAAAAATTCTTTGCTCTCGAATCATTTGGAGATGACTGATGCTGGAGTTCCGTCAACAGGGCTAGTCTGGCTTCAAGATGTAAACATGATTTTTCCCCCTCTTTCCAAAACAAGGTTTAAACTGGGTCTGGAGTACATAGACTAGATTCTCCTAACTATATATTTTTGTGTATTTCATTCTGTGTTTATCTCTTGATCCTCATTCAGGTACAGCGTATGACATAATAAACCTTGGCTTTAAAAAAAAATGTTGATGTATAATGTAATATGTTTCACATTTCTTTATCTTATAACACAGAGCTCAATATAAAAGTGAATTTGCTACGCATAGTTGCCATTCATTTACTGTATGCTTTTTAAAGGTACTGTATGTCCCATTTGCAGGCCAAAAAAAATGAAAAAGTTAAATTCCAACTGCATTTGAAAGATAATACTAATTTAGAACTTCCCTAAAAAAGGTGGGGCTTGAAAATGTCTTCAAGTGGGAAAATAACGACTATTAGTTGTCAAATCGACTTTAGGGCTATAGAGCCCAAAAGCAATAGTCTTGATTTTCAGACAATTGTACCGAATGGTCATACGTTTTATGCTGCGCAAAGATCCAATCAGTTTAATCTTGGCCATCACAAGAAGTGGGTTATTGATGTAGACAAATGCTCATGTACCCTTTACAACTCTTTTCATGTACAGTGTATGCTATTACCAAAGAAGAAAAAAAAAGCCAGTCAGTCACTTAATAGTGTCTGACAGTGAAGTCTAGCAAGTAAACGGCTTTCCTTGCATAATTTGAATATGAGGACACTGCTAACGTTTAAATTTCACAGATAGGACATACATGACATACAGTATTCATAATTCCTGCAAAGTTCTACAGAATTTGAGGTTGGCTGCAAAAGGGACATAGTACATGTACCTTTAAGGCTGTACATAACCGTGTAATGAGGTACTCGAGTACACTCCCGGGCTTACAAGTGAATACTCAGAATATTCGGACGCCAAAATCCCGGGCACTGTCCAGGCCGACGCTTACCCGTGCCAGGGAGAGCGCCCGCTGCCGGCATGGTACCGTGGGTAAAAATGTTTCCAGCTCAATCACTGTCAACTCACCTCTCAGATTTGGTCACCTCTGGGACCAAATGTCCGGATTTCTGTTTGGACTCGGAGGTAAAGTCATCTTTGATTTTAAAAATAGCATTGTTTACTTTTATTATTATTATTATTTAATCGGCGCCTTCAACCGCAACTCGAAGTAAAATAGCGTGGGTTTTCGGAGACAGACCTGGGATATTTCTACCGTTGTAGTATGGTGGTGGCAATTTTTTTATTTTTTATTTTTTGGGGCAGGGAAAAAAATACTTTAAAGATAAAGACCAGTTATGGTCATGCGATTGCATTGTGAAAGAAACGTTGTGGAATCGATCAGAAAAGGTTGATCATCTAGCATATACAGTAAGTATTGGTGTGTACTGCAAGGTTCTGGAATCATCAAAATGATAAGAAATTTGGCCCAGTCTTCGTAAAGTTACAAGCACTGTACACAGAGAGATGTATATGGGACTACGCACACGTGCGCGACACGTGCGTTTATCTCTCACACACCAATAGATAAACTAATTTACCAAATATATCAATTAGTAGGCGGTTTCCCGACAAAATTTTTATCATGTATTAGTCAAAACATGTTTTTTAAATTTTTTTAAATTGGGGCATTTCCAATACTGGTTTTACCTTTAAAAATTTCAGGGGCTACTTTTCAAGCTTGCTTGCATGAAAATAACCCTCTTTAATTTGTTTTGCATTGAACTCTATGCAAATTTGTTTGGGCTCTTTTATGACTTTCGGGGGCTCTTTTTAGCATTTTGAGGGCAAATTCGCCCTGAGCCCGTGTGCCTGTTGGTCCCTACGATCCTCTTTTTCTTATGTTAAATTGAAAGCTGATTTGATGAGATAACCACCTGTCAGTGACCTTGCAGGGAGGTCTAATCCCCCTGGCCAAACTAGTGCAGACAGGCTTTAAGGAAAAGTAGACAATCAATGAGGAAGTTAGGGTTGATGATTGAAGATTCTCTTTGTAAATGACATAAAGATTACTACACTTAGCTGATTGAGATGAATTGGCAATTCAATCATGAGTTTGTGATGTCATTCCCCTATCGACACACCTCTTTTTTCATAAATTTCCCGTTTGCTCTAGAAAAAACTGTTTTCCTCATGTCTTTGCCCTTTGAATATGATTCTTATTCCATATTTACACTTCAAAAACATAATTCTTTCACATATTATGAAGATTTTTTGATGATAATATATTAATTTTGTCTTTATATGATTCATACATTTTATGAAAATTCCTGCTACTGATACTGTTAGCATCAAAATCAACAAGATTGAATTCTGTTTTACCT